ACGGAAGACCTTATAGTGATTCTATTGTTTCTTATTATTATTAAGGTCTTCTGTCTCCAACGGAAGACCTTCTTGTTTTCGTTCGGTTTCTTTTTCCCTATTATCATTATTATTATTATTATTCTTACCGATTTTGTGCACGCAAGTTCTCGGTAACGTCTTGGCCGATTTTCATGAAACTTTCAGATCTGATAGGTATTGATCTGAACCTTATTGGAAATTTTTTTCGTTGATGACGTCACTTTCCATCTCGAGATATTTAGGATTTTCTGATTTTCAGAGGGTCGGCTTGTCCTGGAAACTCCTCCGAAACGACTTAAGATATTGAGTCAAGATTTTCAGTGAAGGTAGGGGAAGGTTTGTAGATTTGCAGGCAGGTGTCCAAATCTCTCTAGCGCAAAAGGCGCCGAAGCTCGGTAGGGCTCAAAACATGTCTCAGAAACATCTCACAAAATTTTACACCTTTTCTTTCATATCTTCATACATGTTAAGAATTTGTTAAAACATATAGAAGAAAAGTTGTGCAGAATGATACGACCTTTCATTTGATATCAAGAAAATGGGGCTGACCCCTCAAATTAGGGGCTGAGAGGGGCCAAAAGTCTTTCACATATAACTCTTTAACGATCAATAATTTGTAATACATTACTGAAGCAAAGATGCTTATCTTAACGATTTACAACAATATATGATAAGATTCTGATCATATGTTACGTAATAAGGGGTCACAAGGGGCCAGAATGCTAAATCTTTGACGCTTTATATCTCGAAAAGGGGGAATATTTTGATAAGCAATACTGAACAAAAGATGGTCAGAATAATGTTCTAAACAATATGCACCCTTCAATTTTTGTCAAACGGCCCCATTAAGGACTTGGAGGGGTGGCCCCTAAATATTTCCATTCAGCATATCTCCATAACGAAAAGAAATCTCTGAATAGTTGTTGAACAAAAAGTCTTCAAAATCACAAGACCTTTCATTTGATATCAAGAAAAGGGGGCTGACCCCTCAAATTAGGGGCTCAGAGGGGCCAAAAGACTTCAACCTATAACTCTTTAACGATCAATAATTTGTAATACATTACTGAAGTAAATATGCTTATCTTAACGATTTATGACAATATATGATAAGATTCTGATCATATGTTACGTAATAAGGGGTCACAAGGGGCCAGAATGCTAAATCTTTGACGCTTTATATCTCGAAAAGGGGGAATATTTTGAAAAGCAATACTGAACAAAAGATGGTCAGAATAATGTTCTAAACAATATGCACCCTTTCAATTTTTGTCAAACGGCCCCATTAAGGACTTGGAGGGGTGGCCCCTAAATATTTCCATTCAGCATATCTCCATAACGAAAAGAAATCTCTGAATAGTTGTTGAACAAAAAGTCTTCAAAATCACAAGACCTTTCAATTGATATCAAGAAAAAGGGGCTGACCCCTCAAATTAGGGGCTCAGAGGGGCCAAAAGACTTCAACCTATAACTCTTTAACGATCAATAATTTGTAATATATTACTGAAGCAAAGATGCTTATCTTAACGATTTACAACAATATACGATAAGATTTTGATCATATGTTACGTAATAAGGGGTCACAATGGGCCAGAATACTAAATCTTTGACGCTTTATATCTCGAAAAGGGGGAATATTTTGAAAAGCAATACTGAACAAAATATGGTCAGAATAATGTTCTAAACAATATGCACCCTTTCAATTTCTGTCAAACGGCCCCATTAAGGACTTGGAGGGGTGGCCCCTAAATATTTCCATTCAGCATATTTCCACAACGGAAAGAAATCTCTGAATAGTTGTTGAACAAAACGTTTTCAAAATCACAAGACCTTTCAATTGATATCAAGAAAAAGGGGCTGCCCCTCAAACTAGGGGTTCAGAGGGGCCAAAAGCAATTCATCGATAGCTCTTTGATAATGTATATTAAATCAAAGGATTGAAATCTAATTAGGGAAGTCTATATATATTATTATCTTTCAACAAAGATCATAGTCAAAATCATATCTCATCTTATCGAAAAATCGGACGGAAGACCTACTCGTTGCTCGCAACGAGATCTCATCTAGTTATTATTATTATTCTTTTTTTTTTAGACAAAATTTTGTGCACGCGATTTCTCGAAAACTATTCAATGAATTTCCTTGAAATTTTCAGGGATAAAAGGTGTTTATATGAATTTTATATAAAATTCCGTTTTTTGGTAAATTCGGTTCCAGTGCCAAGTTATGGACAATTTTCTGATTTTAAAATGAAATTTTGTCCTTGAGTGTTCTCAAGAATGGCTTAAGATATTAACTGGAGACTTGTTAGAGATGATAGAACATGATTTCTAGATTGGAGAGGGCACCTTTTCGTTCGTCGTCGGCACTTCCGGTCGCCTACGGAAGTGATCAAAGAAATCGTTAAATTTCAACTTTCCTTTTTTAAATCAATTCTTACATCACATTATTGCATCTCTTTTGTAGTTCTGAAATATGTTGG